CAGAATTCGGAGAACAAAAGTCAGAATTCTGAGATTAAAGTCAGAATTCGGAGAACAAAAGTCAGAATTCTGAGATTAAAGTCAGAATTCTGAAAAATGTCCCCCATATTAAGCTGAAATAAAATGTAAAACTCCGTTAAATTTAACTTTTTCAGTGGCCCTAGTCATCGGTAGTAAAGTGACCCTGTGTGTAAAGCTTTATTTGTGTCACACTTACTGGATAGTTATGTCTGTATTTCTGCATGTCTCTGGCAGCATTTTCAAACCTGCTGAACTTGTACTGGAGAGGGACAAAATTAGTCACATCATTATACCAACACTGAGCAGCATCCTAAAGTGAAACTATTTATAAAAAGAGTTAAATAACAAAGCTGTAGACCAACTGACACTTCTGTAGCCTCTAGCAGGGCTGGTGGTCTTCTGTGTTTTGTTGCTCTCACTGTCTTCAGCCTCCCAGGTTGAATCATATTGACAGTAGAAGTCATCCTCTCTGTCTACTTTATATTCAGCTCCACTGAACTCATCTTCTGCTTTAATCGCAGTATTGTTCTCTCTGGTAGAGTCATTCACGGTCTGAAACTCCCCGCTCTCTGGATCTGAAGAATATCTCCTTTCCTGCTGTCTTTCCGCTTCTTTTAGGCTCCTCGGTCGAAAAATCAGGTCTCCAATTGGGCGAAGAAAATTTGGGATCCAGCGAAAACATTTATATATACATAAACGAGTCCATCCCCACCAGGTCTTAAATGGTTCTGGTAGGTCGGATATTCCGCGGCTGATAACATTAAAAATGTTCAGAATCAGTCCCACCGCCATGACTCCAGTTTCACTTCGTCTGAACTCTCACTTCGTCGAAATCGAAAGTTAAAGTAAAAAACTCCCATAAATATTTTAGTCCTCACTGAGCGTCACTGTATTTATTTAAAGGCATAGGCTCCCTTTGCAATATTAATGCCTGATTTTTATGGAACGATGGAAGAATTATTCAAATAATTTACTAGAACATATTGATAGATTTCAGGAGTGATTTGCCCCCAATGAACAGCATACGGCACTACAAAAACAGACAAATAAATAAATAAATAAATAAGCCAACATTTCTTAAATTAAGTGTATTTACCTTTAATTAGAGCAGGTAAACAAAAATGATTTGCCAATGGAATGAGTTTTTTACTCTTAAATTAAAATAACTAGATAATATGCCCTTGGAATAAGACAATGCAATAGTATTTTCTCCTTTTAAATGTAGATTGTTTTGTTCCATCTGCAAAGTTTCTCACTTACCTCCTTAATTAAAGAACATATGCATTTATTTTAAGAAAGAAATAACTTAGATTTCGATTATTCCTATAAAGAGCATTCATCCATCATCTTGTGTAATATCCTTGTAAAGGTTAAAACAACAAATTAACAGACCTTCACATGTATCTAATAGCGTTTTTTTCTAGAGATCCACTAATCAATCTGCCAGAGGTCAAATCAGTTTCTATTGTTTGCTTTCATACTGTTTCCTGATCAATTGTTTGCATTTAAGTTTGTTAGGATTAAAGCTGACAGCAAATATCATAGAGAACATTTTTTATGGATACTTACTTTGGAAAGTTTTTGGTGCTTTTGTTGCAAAACAGTTTTCAGAAAGACTAATTTCAAATAGGAAACCATCAAGAAAGATTTGTTTTGTTAAATTAATAAACACAAGATCCCAACTAAGGCTCAACCGGGCTCAGTTAGGATAAAGCTTGACATTATTATTTAAGACTGAAAATGTATGTTTTCAATAAGGTAAGCAGGAGAGGCCTTTTTTTTTTTTTTTTTTTTTAAAACCTATCGTAAATTAGCTTTACTAAAGTGTGTCTAAGCTGACCACTGGATCCTGAAACCAGTGTCAGGTAGATGTTTGTTGGCAACAGCCTGAT